AAATCTTGCATTAAACTGTGTCCCTGGTGGTGAGTATGTTAGAAAAATCAAGGTTATCAAATGACTTAGAGACTCTGTATAATTAATGTATTGACTTCTAACATTTCACTAACAAAACAAAAAGTTAACTAACAAATGATGAAGAGAGTAAACAAGAAAAAATATAAAAGATGAAACGGAATATTCTTCACTTCATGCCAGCAATTGAGAATGCAGCTTCAGTTCAACATCACTTCTGAAAAACCTGCTGCTATGACAGAGACATACAATTGTATGAGGAATTTGAAAGTTGCTGTTTTCTGTAAAACAAGAAGATTGAATTCATCCACTATCACACTATACTGCTATGCTGCTTGACACTGAATTTAAAAGAAACAAGAACTTCATTATACATCCATAAATCAAGATCAGATTGACGTCAATCAGTATGGTAAAGGAATACCCAGTGCAATTAAACCAACTTGCCTTTCTTCCTCCTCCTCCTCCTCCTCCTCCTCCTCCTCCTTCTTTTCTTCTTCCTCTTCTTCTTTGACATAATGAAATTACTAGAACAGGTTGTCTCCATCACAATAATGACAGAATTTTTTTATTTGAAACTTGCCAATTTCTTTTTAGACTTGGTAAACTTCACTAACCGGATTAAGAGAAGAAAGCTCTCCTTAGTCGACTGAATTCTGTTTTTCAAATCTCCAGAATATGTTTGCTCTGGGAACTATTATTGAATTGGCATTTGATTGTGTTTGGGGGAAGATACAGATAGTGGGTAGATAAGAGTAATTGATTATATTGCTTAGGGTGTAACCAACCTTTGAGCACCTAACTTGTGACCCTACTTAGTATATTTTATTTGCTTAAGATAGCCAATTTTCCAACCTTCTGTTTCTCTACTTGAAGAAAGTTGAGAATGTTCCTCTTGTGATTTTTCTTGGTGACTTTGTTGCTTTTGTTTCCTAATTTTGGGGTGGTGAAAATAGACAAGACTGTGTCAGGGTATTAATGTGAAGAAAACGTGACTTGGAAAGCCAAAGTGAAGGAAATTAAAAGCCTTTCAAATTTTATCATATTCACTCTCCCATATACCATGCTTCCAGTCTATCACAGATAAGTGTTGTGATGTTAGTCTCTCTGTGCAAACATCTCAAGCATATGAGATTCCATGGTGAAGGATGGCAAAATTCCTGCACTGTGGTTCACATGAAGGCCTTGGGAATTGTTATCTCCTCTCTCTTTTTATGTTCCACAGTTTTTCTCTGTGTACCCTGTCAGGTCCGAAGTCTCAGGGCTGCCTAATGCAACATTCTTCTTACTTTGCCTGGCTACTGGAACCATCTGCCCTTTAACTGATCCCTGTATACTGATCTGGGGAAGCAGCAAGCTGAAACAGGCCTCTTGGTTTGTTCTGTGGTAGGTGGGACACAGGCTAAAAGAACGGAAGCCTTCTGGCCTGTAGATCAACAATGACATGGTGTACATTCTCGTTAAGCAGAACTGATGAGACAGTTGCAAATTTTGCTTTCTGCTATTTTCAGAATACATAAATTTAAATAATTTATAAAGCTATTCCTAGGAAGACTTTTTTTCAAAGCTTGCTAAATCAAAGAATATATGAATGTATCTTTATGAGCACATGGTTTTAAAAATTATTTTAGAAACTTTTTATTTGTTACTTTTTGTGTATGAGTGTATTACCTGCATGTGTGTAAGTGCACCTGTGTCATGCAGTGCCCTCAGAGGTCAAAAGACAGTGTCGAATTCCCTGGAACTAGAGTTGCAGACATTTGTTAGCTGTCATGTGGGTTCTGGGAATTGAACCCGGGTCTTCTGCAAGAGCTTTTGGTGCTCTTAACCACTGAGCCATCTCTCCCACCCCATGAGCATGTTTTAAAAACATATGAAACATTGTGAATATCATGTTCTTAATCACTTTTTTCCTTATGGACAACCAAATTGTACAGAATATTGTAGGAAAAAAATAGAATTACTAATCCAAGTGCATTTTACCTACAGTCCATGGCATGTTCTACCTGGATTACTTATACTCTATCATTTAATTTTAATTTTAATTTTGTTGCATTTTTGCGATTTTCATGGAATATAGTTTCAGTCAGTTACTTTAATTGGAGTTAGTTACAGGAGCATAGGCAGCTTGCTAAAGATGAGAATATCCCCCAGCAACAGCCAGCTACTAGGATGTCTTCAGGGAGGGAGGGAGTCTTGTTCTAGCTCATGTGCAGCCTTGCTCATCACCTCATAAAAGTCTTGTTAAGCCACCTCCTAAGTTATGTGCCTCTTGGCCCCTTTATTCTTCCACGAGGTACTTGTTTGCGTAATCATAACCATTCTGATTTTAAGATGGCAATGGCTATTTTACGCCTTCAGGACAGAACCTTTCCTCCGATTCTTATACCCCCCCCCATTTTGTGCCCTGAGCCTTAAGGGGGCTGTGATGTCTGATTATTTCATCAGTTTAGGGTTTCAGAGCTCAATTGGCACCAACGGGCTTTAAGGTATCATAATACTTGCATCAGAAAATATCCCCAGAGGTGATGGAAGCTGATTTTAATATCTTAACAGGATCCCCTAATACCGAGACACTTTTGTAGTGACAGATAATAAAGGTAAGGCATAATGTCAATACTCGAGAACTTGAATTGTTTCAAGTTTAGTTCTCCTGGAATCTTACTCTTGCTTAATACTACCATTATTTATGCTATTTAAGAAATTTCTCATTTCCTATTTTAAAAGGTTTTAATGGACAAATATCATTAAAATAATTAATTAGTTATGATGTTTTTTAAATGTCACTTAATCTGAAAAAAAAAGTCTGGATGCAACTCAATAGTTGGGCGAGCATTTAGCATGATTGAGATTTTGGGTTCAATCTTTATCAGCAAAATAACTAATAAACCAATGAATAAATCTTATAAAATGAGGACAGAGGGGTAATAGAGCCCTCAGATTGGGTAAGGAAATGTATTATTATTCCTAGCACCTCCAAAGAAATTGTTATGATTTTATTTCATAGGCCAGAAATAGTCGCCAAGTCAGTAGTCATGTGCAAGCTGCCAGAGGACTGTTCTACTCAGAAAAAAAATATTCCACCTTCTAGGATAACATCCTACCATAATGTAAATTTATGATAATATCCATTCGATCTATACCTTGCCTATTTTGCAGAATTCAGATACCTTAGTTTAATACATATATAAAGAGTAACACAATCCCCTGGAATTTTCAAAGCCTGTTTAGTGACTGTAATCTATACAGTTCCCCGAAGATTGTGGTTATTTTTATTCATTGCCAACCAGGAGAATACTTGTAGAGCCTTTCTTGGGTCTTGCTTTCCATCTTTTCTCCATGGTGGGGAAGAGGTGAGGGAGTTTTGCATGCTGGCAAAACTGTGAATTTCAATTAGACTTCCAGCATTAGGCGACAAACTAGAAACGCAGTAGACTCTCCTTTGGGAAGCTGTGAGGCAAAGCTCTAGGAAATAGCTTTCAGAAATTCAGACCGAAGCAGCAGGAGGTCTCTGTGTACCCATAAAGCAGTCCGTGCAGGACGCATGCCTGAAAGTCCCCGTGAACGCGCACACATGTTCTTTCTTCTGGGCACTGCTTCCTGTTAAATGGCTACATGTCTTTGGGAACCAGCGCTTGAACATATGCTGACCATTCTCCCGAAACACTTTCTGGGTCTTTTATCAAGGGGGATGACGTATCCCGTAATCGTCAGTCTGAGGTTCCCTGAGTTGGCTCAGTGCAGAGACTGGTGAGTAGTTTGACTTTAGCCCCCAAAGGCTAAAAACTGGTTTTATCTAACTTTTCCTCTGGTTTGGTGCATTTATCAGGATTCGAAGCCTCCTCAGCTGCTCTGCTCTGACCCCATGCTGTTCGCCGTTGCTCTCACCACTTCCCTCACTCTGACTTTTGCAGGGTCATCGATCAGTCTGTGCTGCCAGTGCTAGGTTATCCTTGTGTAACTCAACAGCACCAGAAGAAAGTCTTGTGAAGGACTGTGTTCTTGCCTGGGTTTGATGGAGAGGTGGATAAAATCTGCAAGACTTTCATGCTGACTACAAATTTGCCCTGCTGGGCAAGAGAGAGGAAGAGGCTGAGGAAGATTCTTGCTTTGTGGATGAACTAATTCACCTCAGGGGAGGTGAATTCACTACTTCAGGGGAGCACAAAGAGATGGCCATCATTTTCAAATGCATAAAATAACTGAAGGTTACTAAATATTGATATTTGCTACTCCACAAAGTGTACTTGTATTTTCTAAACAGTATTTTAGTATCAGAATCAGTTGCAAAGTACTCAGTTAAAGTGCAAACTGGATTATTGCACAAGAAAAATGAAGTTTGGCTACAAATAAATATGTATTTGTGTGACTATGCATGATTTTTTAGGAAGTAAAATGATAGATGAGTAGTATTCTAATTATGAAACATTCAAGAAATCTTGATTTCTGGCTGACTTTTAGGTAACAGAGTTTATAGGTTATTTGAATAATATATGTGTACGTCTTTGTGCAGAACCAATTTTGAAGTATCTCATGAACCCCTGTGCTTAGTTAGGAATTTAGATACATCAGTACATATTTTTGTTGCTTTCTGTATTAAATAGAATTTACACTAAATTAGCTAGATAAAGTATGTTTGCAAAGAAGAAAAATAATAACACAAACTTGTGTCTTTATTTGTCATACAAGAATGCAGTGTTTCCATCAACATCAATTGCAAAAGGCTCCAGAATATTTTGAGAAGGCTGAAGAGTGGTTGGATGAAGTTTCTGTGTGGTCTGACAAAGTACATGATTTTCATGGGGAAATGTACTATAGAGTCATTAGGAAATATTGCTGTTTGTTTAATATCATGGCTGTAAGTTTCTAAAGAAAGTGTGATACATATTTTGAAGAATCAGGCATAGGCTGTATTTTAGAGGAATATGTTAACCAATCTTCAGCACTGGCATTAGAAATTTGGGCATCCTTTTATAAAAAAAATGGATCTTGTTCTATGGAGAACTTTTACAATCATTTTTAGTGTGGAATTCATAATAGGAACTTTAGGAAATGGATTCATTGTACTGATGAAATGCACAGACTGGATCAAAGGAAGTAAACTGTCTTTCGTGGATCAAATCCTCATTGGTTTGGCAATCTCCAGAACTGGTTTGATATGGTTGATATTTCTGGACTGGTGGTTATTCATGCTTTACCCAATTTTACATATGACTGAAAAAATGTTAAGAATGTATTACATCTCCTGGACAGTGCTCAATCATTTAAACCTCTGGCTTACTGCAAGTCTGAGTATCTTTTATTTTCTCAAGATAGCTAACTTCTATAAAACTATTTTTCTTTACCTAAAGTTTAGAGTTAAAAAGGTGATCGCAGTGACCTTGCTGGTGTCTTTACTTATCTTGATCTTAAATATTATAATTATAAAAATATACGTTGATATGTGTATAGTTGGTGCTCAAAGAAATGTGTCTTACACTTCCAGTATGAATAACTATGAACAAAGTTGCAAGCTTCTTGCATTCACAAACCCTATGTTCACACTCATACCCTTTGGTATGTCCCTGACAACTCTTCTCCTGCTCATCTTCTCCCTGTGGAAACATCTGAAGAATACACAGCATAGCATGAAAGACTCCAGAGACATCAGCAGCAAGGCCCACATTAAAGCCTTGCAAACTGTGATTGTCTCTGTCCTATTATACAGCATTTTCTTCTTGTCCTTTTTTATGAAAGTTTGGGGAAAGTCCTGGAAAGATAAATATTTCTTCTCTCTGTGTGCCTGGGCTCTGGGAATTGCTGTTCTCTCTGGTCACTCGTTTGTCTTGATTCAGGGGAACAATAGACTGAGATGGGCTTGGCGTTCTGTGATGCTGTGGTTCAGGTGCAGATTCAAAAGTGCAGAACCATAGGGTCCACAGACCATTTGAGGAATCATCTTGCATATTCTAAAGGAAAAGCAGATTACAAGAAATCCCCATGTTTGTAATCTTGCATGTTGTAAATATTCTGTTATGTCCAATTGTGAATTAGATACATGGACACTCTGCAATATTTGGGGTACATATGTATATGTTAATGTACTTTAGCACATAAGAATATAAGTAAAGGACACTTAAATGTAAGAAATATCTATCATAATAAATAATAATAATTTTGTCAAAATTTCTTTCAGCAATACTCAAATAAGAATTCTATATTATGTAACACACCCACATATTGCCAACAATTGACTGTGAAATATAGTTTCTAAAAATAGAAGTAAAAAAAACTTATAGTTGCTAAAAATAGAAGATCAAGCCGGCCAAAATCCCAACGTAGATTAGAGAGGGGCTCATGAAGTGTCACAAGAGCTGATGGCTGCTGTGAGAGGGAGAGTCAGTTTTCTTCAGGGATATTGACCCTGAGTGGCTACCCATGCTCAGTTAGATGGTCCTACAACTATGCACATAGAGATGGCACTAAGTGGACTTAGTGGGTTTAAAAACAAATCAGTGAAGTTAGGCAGAACAGTAATAGGTGACTGGGGAGAAACTAGAGGTCAAGGGTGAAGGGTAGATTTGATCAAAACATAGTATAGACATCTACGAAATTCTCAAAAAATTGCCCAAGGATATGACAGAGATAGGGTTTTCTCTAGGATCCGTGACCTCTCCTGCCATGTGTATTTGTCTATATTTACAAAGTCACACATGAATTCCCTCCAATTGAAGGGGCTTTAAGTTCAATGAGATAGCTGTTTATTACCCCCTAGATAAAAGGACCACTACAACACCACTGTAGTTTCTTGTGCTGGTAATTGTTGTGGTTATCAGCTTTGAAACTGGGGTTAGACCATTGTTTGAAGCAATTTAAATGAATTTATTTCCAAATCATCTTTATACTAACACTCTGCTTTCCAGAGAAAAATGAATCATATCACTGTCAGTAAAAATATTAGTAATGACTTCATAAATAGTTCATATACATAGCATGATAACAAATTTGCCTCTTTTTAAACTACATTTT